AAATGATCTGTATGTAGCCCTGTACTATGGATCATTTAACCCATTCATGTTAGCAGAGGATAATTGTAAATGTATTGTTGCAGTGCACTCTATATGTACATGTACTATATACTACATATAGAATGCACTGCAACAATAGATTTACAATTATCCCCTGCTAATATGAATGGGTTAAATGATCCATAGTACATGATATGTAGCCCTGTACTACGGATCATTTAACCCATTCATGTTAGCAGTGCAGAATTGTATATCTATTGCTGCAGTGCAGTCTATATGTACTGTACATATACAGCACAAATGTCCCGTACATTGCAGCAATAGATTTACAATGATCCCCTGCTAACATGAATGGGTTAAATTATCCATAGTACAACTACATGTTATGTACTATTATGTACTACGGATCATTTAATCTATGCATGTTAGCAGGGGGATCATTGTAATTCTATTACTGCAGTGTACGGGACATGTGTACTGTATATGTACTGCGGATCATGATTTAACCCATTCATGTTAGCAGAGCAGAATTGCGAGCGCCTCCCACAAGCGGAGCACCGAGATGCGATGTCGCGATCCTGCCCAGCGCCGACTACGAGAGGCATCACGTGATGCAACAGGGATCGGAGTGAAACTGAGTGAGGGAAGCTGGGACGGGGCTGGCTGTAAATCTAATGCTATAGTGTACTGGACGTGTGTAATGTATATGTAGTACATATATACAGCACACACCTCCACTACACTCCAGCAATAGAGTTACAATTCTCCGCTGCTTACATGAATAGGTTAAATCATGATCCATAGTATATAACATGTAGTTGTACTATGGATCATTTAAAGTCACCTGTCCCTTTATGAATAAGTATCGGTAATTGGTATCTGCAAGTAAATGAGGGGGAATTACTTGTACTTGGGCCTGAAAAAGTGGCATCGGGACATCCCTAGTGGGAACCCAAGCCTGTCTGAATCTTGTGCAATTCTCCTCGTTTCTGAAGCTCTTTCATATGTTCTCAGTAGATGAAATTACCTGTATTCCTACAAGACTTTCAGATATGTTTCAATACCTTGAATATATAATTCTTATACGGTACCTTTAGTTCTTTCACCCCTTTGATGAATATTTAAATCCCTTTGCAAAATTACACTCATGAAGTAGATGGGGTTTTGCACATGATGATCTGGGAAAGGGGAAGCTACTTCATTTTACTTTGATGTCTCTTTATATTTATGTATTAAACTGGTTTGAGCAATGTTAATGCTTATTGAAATATTTATATGTCTCTTTCATACTTTTTCTATTCCTTGGTTGTTTTCCGAATTGCTGCTGCAGTTGCTTACACTTACCTTTTGACGAACAGTCCTTTCACTCCGCCAATACGGGTGTAATATTTGTACCCCGTACTGCTTACCAGCACAGCACTGCGCATTTTGAATTTCGCTCGAAAATTGCGAGCACTCGTTGGTCAGCGTGGTGTGAGGACCACGCTGACCAATGAGAAGCGCTATTTAGCACGGTTAAATACGATTTTGATAACAATTTTTTTGTATCGGGACAAGTAGATTGTCATGAGGGACAAGTAGATTGAGCCCCCACTTTAGCCCTTGGGCAAGTAGTTTTTTTTAAATTTCCACACCCCTGTATATCGCTGGGATCTGTGGTCCTCTATAGCTGGTGGTACTCTGCATTGCTGAGATTTGTAGTCCCTCTACAGCTTGGAGTCAGGGCCAGAACTACATGGGTCTCAGCGTTTGCAGCTGCGACTGGGCTCTGGCTCTCCACCACTGTCCTAAAATCGTTAGGTCTGTATTGTTTAAGAAAAACGGTCACATGACACTAAAAAAATAAATAATGGCAAGCGGCAGGTGGTGATAGGGGTGGGGCAGAGGGCCCAAGAAAATGTTTGCCCAGGGTCCAGTCAATATTAAAGACTGCCCTGGGCCCATCACCGACGCCCTTCTGCCCTTTCATTTACTTCTAGCCCACACAGAGGTACCCCGCAGCGTGGGCCCACTCCCAGGCCCGCCAGACTCTGCCATTACCGCTTCAACACAGCCACCTCTTGTGGTTTAGCAGCTGAGTGGGGCCTGTCTCGAGCTGCCCGACGATTGGTTCCAGCTCCCTCCTTCCTGGGTCTTCGGACTGTTCAGCATGCCCCAATCTGACTGAGAAGTGCCAGGAGATGGTGGAGTGTTAGGTACTATGGTTCCTTTGTTATGAAAGGCGACTCGTAGAAATGAACCTCTAATATCTGTAAGTGCCAAGAGCCCCTGAAACACATGAGCCCAGTAGTATGCAAAATTATTGATGCTTCTGCCTCCTCCCATGGCACATCCAACAGTGCAATGCAGGACCTTAACATACCATTGAAAGTTACATTGTCATTATTATTATGATGGTTTTCCTCAACACTGCTATTGCTAACATGTGGTAGTTACATACTGCAGGGTATTCAGCTGTAGGTTTAGAAGTGTTAACCCCTTCATGACCAGGGACATACAGTGTATGTCACTGGCATCAGGGCTGTTTAAATAGACTCTGTTTAAACTTGTAAAGCCGACTGTTGGCTTTACAGTAGAATCGATTCTTTCGGCTCAGCTGCAACTAGATCGCTTCTTCGGGCCGGTGAACGGGTGTCGTCCCCACCACACCTACTGTGTTTCCCGGGCTCCATTGCCCCTCCTACGGGCCCGGGACCGGCTTCTTTGGTGTCGGGGGGAAGCTGTGGAGGAGATGGGCGAACTTCCATTCGCCGATCCCCTCCCAGTACTATGGAACCGGGAGAAACGCGCATTGCATCACTTACGGTCCCATAGCTGTTAGTGCTGGGCTCCTGAACCCCAGTAATAAGCTATTGAAGTGCGATCTGCACTTCAATAGCTTATTTAGAGTGTGAAGGTGACACTAGGGGTCTTTAGGACCCCCCAGCATCACCGTAAAGAGTACCTGTCACCCCTAATCTGCTATCACATGGGGGGCTTGTAATCCCCCTTATGTGATAGCAATTAAAGTTAAAAAAAATAAGTTTTTAAAAATAAAATAAATATAACAAAAAAGGGGCGTGGCCTGACTATGGCCGTGTGAGCAGTGGGATTTCTCCGCTCCTTTCCCGGCTTCATAAAATACCTTACCTTTCGGCACCTGCCAGCCTTATCAGACCGCATGTCTAGGAAGAACAAAGGGTAAAACAGGCTACTCCCAAGACGGCTTTTCGGCAACTATTTGAGCAGGGGGGCCAGCCTGACGAGATGCGGCCTGCGGCCCACAGCCCCTCCCTGCCGAACAGTCAGCTTCAGCCGCCTGGCTCTGCCTCCTCGGCACAGGACCAAGTGCTCCCGCCGACGCTGCCTTGCGGGGGATGGGATCCCTGGCCAGGAACCAGAGGACCGGCAGATTCCGCCGCACAAATGCGCCTCTATGGCCCCGTCGGCGGTACCCGAGCATCACACAGCGTGCTCTCCCCCAACACGAACCGCTGTAGCACCATCCTCAGTGACAGATTCAGGACCCACTACAGAGGCGAGACACCACTCACCCAGCTCCTTTCTACCGGACTCAGGTGAGGATATGTCTCCACACACCCCTCTGCCACCTTTACCGCCCTGCAAGCTCAGTAATGGACCATCTATTGCAATGACAACGGAGTCCCAACAGCAGGCCTGGACTCATCCCCCTGTTATTTCTGGGGATGAAAACTCCCTTGGCTCCTGGCGTTCTGCATCCCCCAGGCTCAATACCCCCTGGGGCCCTCCAGACCCAATTCCAATGCTACATGTGGACCCTGACCTTAGATCTCTGCTCAGTGCCCCCACGAAGGAAGACATAGCAGCATTGGTTCCCACCAAAGTAGACTTTGAGTCCTTTACTGTCCGAATTGAATCAGCCTACAAACAGGATTTCGCAGAACTCAGACAAGAACTCGCAACATTCTCCTCCAAAATTAATGCAGTGGAACATTCTACCTCTTCACTATCGGATAGGGTATCGCGTCATTAATATGCCTAGACCCAATCACAACAACAGTTGGTAAATGTCCTGTTATCCCTGGACGATTAGGATCCCGGGGTCGACGGAATAACGTTCGTATACATGGGGTGCCAGAATCCACAACCGGCAATGACCTCAGGGCTACGGTTGGAGACATATTCAATCTATACCTGGATAACCCCCCGGGCACCCCTATCCAGATAGAGCGCACAGATCCCTGGGCCCCGAATCACCGGACCCCAACCGCCCTAGATATATTATCTGCAGGGTACATTATTACGTTAAGAAAGAGGAGGTCATGAACCAGGCCTGGAACAAAGAACCTTTGAATTTCGATGGTGCCCAAATTCACGTATTCCCTGATCTCTCTGGTCGCACATTATTCCTGAGACCACTCCTTGACAGAATTCGAGAATGTGAAGCCACCTATAAGTGGGGTTTTCCCTTCCATCTCATTGTTAGGAAGATGGAAGCCTCCTTCATACTGCACTCTCCAGATGATTTGCCTGCGCTATTCTTCTTCCTACAATCCAAGCCGGTTCCAAATTGGTTTGAAGCCCTCTTGGATACCATCTCCAGCGCTGATTGTCCTCAGTTTCACGGAACGGAAGAACGTGCTCCTCGCAGCAGTCATTTTTACCCCTCTGGCAGGGCTCCCGGATGGACGGCCCACCCATCAGAGGGCGTGAATCCTCTCCTCCTCTGCCGTCCCAACATAAACTGTAATTGCTTGGCTCCTGTAATTTCCATACATTCACAGCAGTAGATCTACAGTTAGGAATTCCCTCACTGAATTCAACATCCGTATATACATAACTCATCTACCTGACCGGATCCTACATCTCCCTACTCCCCTTCCGAGACAACCACATCCTATTGGTCCTAGTGTGGTCCCTACAACAGCCAAGAGCCTTTGGAACACAGCGGCTACTCAGGAGGAACTTGTCTGACTGGTCGTCCCTCGTTTCTGCTATGTTATTTTTACATTTTGCTTTCCTTAGGGCGATGGAAACGTAATGTGCTTGTTTTTGTTCCCTGCAGGGGTCTTCCCCAGGTTGACTGCTCTAACCACTACCTTACAGCATAACCATCCCACGAGCGATTGGGAAGCTAGATGTCTTGCCCACTGGTGGATACCATTCAAAGCTCCAACGTACTGAAGCTGTAGTGACAGACTGGGGGGACCCTGTAGGGTACTTTAATGTGATATCTCATGCTGATTGCAAATGTGTTTATGTCTTTTTTTTTCTTTCTCTCCTTTCTAAGGGGAAGCAGGTCTTGATTTACCTAGAGCATTTTGATCCTGTGTCAGCGGGGGCTGACTGGGTGGCCTCCTAAACCGTTTGGACCTGCGAGTGCCCTCGGGTACCTATCCCTGCCCCCTCAGTCTTCTATAGATGTTGTTTCTTTATTAAGCGATTTATTCCAGTAGCTGAGAATCTACATTCTTAATGTTTATATATGGTGGGGGAAATGTTGCATGTGCTTCTTTTTTCTTTTATTATTCAACAGTGCAGTAAAGGTTTTCATGGTCTATTTACAATGCCAGTTAATGGAAGCTGTGGTTTTGGAGCTATTGCTGTAGACCTAGCTCCACGTTCCCCGTTGTCGGGCCTTGCCCCACTTTAGGCCCAGCACTCTCTGGAGTGGATGCTACTGAGGTTTAGACCTCAAGTAGTTGTTTCCCCCCCACACCCACTACCCTC